TAGATGAAAAGCTTTTAGCTTTTTGCTGTTCAGTATGATGTTGACTGTGGATTTATCATATATGGCCTTTATTATGTTGAGGTAGTTGTCCTTTTTACCCATTTTGCTGAGAGTTTTTATCATGAATGGATGTTGAATTTTGTTGAATGCTTTTTCAGCATCTATGGAGATGATAATGTGGTTTTTGTTCTTCTTTTGTTTATGTGGTGTATGATGTTGATGGATTTTTGAATGTTATACCATCCTTGCATCCCTGGAATAAATCGTACTTGATCATGGTGGATGATCTTTTTGATGTATTTTTGAATTCGGTTTGCTAATATTTTGTTGAGTAATTTTGCATCTATGTTCATTAGGGATATTGGTCTGTAATTTTCTATTTTGGTGGGTTCTTTGCCTGGTTTTGGTATTAGAGTGATGCTGGCTTCGTAGAATGAGTTTGGAAGTATTCCCTCCTCTTCTATTTTTTGGAAAACTTTAAGGAAAATGGGTATTATGTCTTCTCTGTATGTCTGGTAAAATTCAGTGGTGAATCCATCTGGCCTGGGGGTTCTCCTCTTGGGTAGTTTTTTGATTACCAATTCAATTTTGTTGGTGGTAATTGGTCTGTTTAGATTTTCTTTTTCTTCCTTAGTCAGTCTTGGAAGGTTGTAGTTTTCTAGGAAGTTGTCCATTTCTTCTAGATTTCCCAGCCTGTTAGCATATATATTTTCATAGTATTCTCTAATAATTTTTTGTATTTCTGTGGTGTCCGTTGTGATTTTTCCTTTCTCATTTCTGATTCTCTTTATGTGTGTAGATTCTCTTTTTCTCTTAATAAGTCTGGATAGGGGTTTATCTATTTTGTTTATTTTCTCAAAGAACCAGCTCTTGGTTTCATTGATTTTTTTTCTATTGTTTCATTCTTCTCAATTTTATTTATTTCTTCTCTGATCTTTATTATGTCCCTCCTTCTGCTGACTTTGGGCCTCATTTGTTCTTCTTTTTCCAGTTTCAATAATTCTGACTTTAGACTATTCATTTGGGATTGTTCTTCCTTCTTTAAATGGGCCTGGATTGCAATATACTTTCCTCTCAGAACTGCCTTTGCTATATCCCACAGAAGTTGGGGCTTTGTTCTGTTTTTGTCATTTGTCTCCATATATTGCTTGATCTCTGTTTTAATTTGGTAATTGATCCATTGATTATTTAGGAGCATGTTGTTAAGCCTCCATGTGTTTGTGAGCCTTTTTGTTTTCTTTGTACAATATATTTCTAGTTTTATACCTTTGTGATCTGAGAAGTTGGTTGGTAGAATTTCAGTCTTTGAATTTACTGAGATTCTTTTTGTGGCCTACTATATGGTCTATTCTGGAGAATGTTCCATGTGCACTTGAGAAGAATGTGTATCCTGCTGCTTTTGTGTGTAGAGTTCTGTAGATGTCTTTTAGGTCCATCTGTTCTAGTGTGTTGTTCAGTGCCTCCATGTCCTTACTTATTTTCTGTCTGGTTGATCTGTCCTTTGGAGTGAGTGGTGTGTTGAAATCTCCTGAAATGAATGCATTGCATTCTATTTCCTCCTCTAATTCTGTTAGTATTTGTTTCACATATGTCGGTGCTCCTGTATTGGGTGCATATATATTTATAATGGTTATATCCTCTTGTTGGACTGACCCCTTTATCATTATGTAATGTCCTTCTTTATCTGTTGTTATTTTCTTTGTTTTGAAGTCTATTTTGTCTGATATAAGTACTGCAACACATGCTTTTTTCTCCCCATTGCATGAAATATCTTTTTCCATCCCTTCACTTTTAGTCTGTGTATATCTTTGGGTTTGAGGTGAGTCTCTTGTAAGCAGCATATAGATGTTCTTGCTTTTTTATCCATTCTATAACTGTGTCTTTTGATTGGTTCATTCAATCCATTTACATTTAGGGTGATTATTGATACATATGTACTTGTTGCCACTGCAGGCTTTGGATTCGTGGTTACCAAAAGTTCAAGGTTAGCTTCTTTACTATCCATCTGACTTAACTCTCTTTTTACACTATTATAAACACAATCTGATGATTCTTTATTTCTTTCCCTTCTTAGTCTTCCTCCTCCATTGTTCATATGTTAGGTGTTTTATTCTGTACTCTTTGTGTTTCATTTGAGTGTTTTTCTGGATAGTTGATTTTATTTTTTGCCTTTAGTTAGTATTTCATTGGTCTTTTTTCTTTACTGTGAGTTTATTTTCTCTGGTGACATCTATTTTGTCTTAGGAGTGCTTCCATCTCAAGCAGTCCCTTTAAAATATGCTGTAGAGGTGGTTTGTGGGAGGTAAATTCCTTCAACTTTTGCTTGTATGGAAATTGTTTACGTCCATCAAATTTAAATGGCAATCGTGCTGGAAACAGTATTCTTGGTTCAAGGCCCTTCTGTTTCATTGCATTAAAAACATCATGCCATTGTCATCTGGCCTGTAAGCTTTCTGTTGAGAAGTCTGATAGCCTGATGGGTTTTCCTTTGTAGGTAATCTTTTTTCTCTCTCTGGCTGCCTTTAATGCTTTGTCCTTGTCTTTGATCTTTGCCATTTTAATTATTTTATATCTTGGTGTTGTACTCCTTCGGTTCCTTGTGTTTGGAGATCTGTGGGTGTCCATGGTCTGAGTGACTATTTCCTTCCCTAACTTGGGGAAATTTTCAGCAATTATTTCTTCAAAGACCCTACTATCCCTTTCTCTCTCTCTTCCTCTGGTACCCCTATAATGCCAATATTGTTCTGTTTGGATTGGTCACACAATTCTCTTAATATTCTTTCATTCCTAGAGATCCTTTTATCTCTCTCTGCCTCAGCTTCTCTGTATTCCTGTTCTCTGATTTCTATTCCATTAAAGTCTCTTGCACCTCGCCCAGTCTGCTCTTAAATCCTTCCATTGTTTGTTTCATTTCTGTTGTCTCCCTCCGGACTTCATCCCTTAGCTCTTGCATATTTCTGTGCAGGTGCATCAGCATGGTTATGACTTTTATTTTGAATTCTTTTTCAGGAAGATTAGTTATATCTATCTTACCAGGCCCTCTGTCTGGAGTTGTCTGATTGATTTTTGACTGGACCAGATTCTTCTGCCTTTTCATGGTGATGGAAATGGTCGTGGGCAGGTGCCACATATGTCAGCTGGGAGAACAAAGTCCCTTCCTAGTTGTTGGTTGCCTTGCCCTTCTCTGCTGCCTGTGCTGGTTTCCCGCACACTGGCAGCAGACTCTGGGACAATCTCCTGAGCTGCCATGGGTGGGACCACCCTCTGGCTAGCCTAGAGCACTGTGGGGGGATTGCAGCCATGCCGGGTGTGTTCTCCTGTGATAATGGGCACCCCTTCGTTCCTTCTGGACCTTGCTCCAGCTTCCGCTGCCTGTGCCGGTTACCTACACACCAGGAGCAAACTCTGAGACAATCTACTGAGCTGTCGTGGGTGGGGCCACCCTCAGGCTAGCCTAGAGTGCTGCTGGGATTTACAGCCATGCTGAGTGTGTTCCCCTACGAGAATGGTGCCCCTTCATTACTTCTGGACCTTGCTCCAGCTTCCACTGCCTGTGCCAGTTACACACTGGGAGCAGACTGGGACAATCTCATGAGCTGCCGTGGGCTAGGTTGCCTTGGGCTATCCTGGAGCACTGCAGGGAGTCCCAGCAGCCCCAGGTGTGTTCTTCTGTGAGAATGGTGCCCCTTTGTGCCTTCTGGACCTTGCTCCAGCTTCCACTGCCTGTCCTAGTTAGCTGTGCGCTGGGAGGAGACTCTGTGTGGTTGCTGTGGGCGGGGCCACTTTCCAGCTGCTCTGCAGCTGTAGTGGGTCAGCTGGTTTGCTTGTAGCGCCACCTGGGGGTAACGAATGGCAGGCTGCTTAATGCCATGAGGGGCTTCAGGGCTGCTTAACCCCCCAGGGTGTTAGGGGGCCTGAAGTTCCTCAAGATGCCCAGCCTGCTGGGGTCAGTGTGCTGGGATGATTTTGTTCAGCTGTTGACCCTTGTCCCTTTAAGCCTTTTAAAAAGTGCCCACTTTTCTTTTGACCCAGGGGAGCCAGCTGTGGGGACCCGCTTGCAGTCTCCATCTCAGACCCTGCCCTTCTGTTTCTCTGATATCCAGCACACCATGCAATGTGTGTGTGTGCTCCCAGTGCAGATTACTAGGGCTGGTTATTTAGCAGTTCTGTGCTTCCACTCCCCCCACCTCTGACTCTTTTCCTCCCTCCAGTGAGCTGGAGTGGGGGGAGTGCTCAGGTCCTGCCAGGTCACGACTTTGTATCTTACCCTTTTTGTGAGATGCTGAGTTCTTGCAGATGTAGATATAGCCTGGCTATTGTACTGTATCCTCTGGTTTCTCTTTTAGGAATAGTTGTATTTGTTGTATTTTCAAAAAATATATGTGGTTTTGGGAGGAGATTTCCACTGCCCTACTCACACCACCATCTTGAGCCGGAACCTGTTCACACAGTCCTTCATAATAATCCTCAGGAGACTTTCCTGGTTGTTGAGTGACTGAAGAAACTTTGATCATGTTCATAGGCTTTTTGGACCCGACTTTGAACCCCTGAAGGAGGGTGTCCTGATATCGGTGGATCTGGTGCTGTCCCTCAGGGGTAGTGAAGTCCCACTTGGGGTGCTCCTCGGGGACAGCAATTTCAGCCCATGCACCCTGACCAAGGACCCCGGCTGCCTCCTCTCTTCCATTGTGACCAGGGTGTGGAGAAGCTGTTAACAGTTTTTTAGGTTGGCTGATGGATTTGCAAGAAGAATTCTATGAGATCAACCAGGGCTTGTGGTTTTTCTGATGGGGTGTCAGTTGTGGAGAAGGGTTGATAGTAAAACATGGACTGGCTGGGCTGGATGGTCTCATATTTATTATGTCTTTCAGGCTCCAGCATGATATCTGAAGGGTGCCTGCTCCCGGCCAAGGGTGCAGTCTGGCTGCTGGTCCGGGGGAGAGTGGGTCCACTGGTTCTGGAGTTGTCAGGGAGGCTGACAGTGGCAGGTATCAGGGACTGGGGGCTGGATGCTGACAGCCTTGAGGGCATATAAGGTCACCAGCAAGCATCTGTGGAGGCTCAGGCTTCTGCTTATTCTTTTCAGGCTTCTTTGTTGAGGCAACTAAGACCCTACCCTGCCCCTGCCTGTTGTAAGCGAATTGCACCCAAGGGGGAAGAGTCTGAGCGATTCCTAACCATTAATATATGAGAACTGGTCAGGATGACCTGGATCTCCAGTGATGACCCGCCAGATCAGGGGGACTGTTGGGACATTTAGAGACCCTTCTGGTGGCCACCCTAAACTGAAGGGGGGCCATTCAGAATCAAACAGGGCCTTTAACCTGCCAGGAGTTAATTTCACTCTGTAATATTCTGAAAATCTTTCCTGAGATTCTTGATCATAGTGCCAAAGACTGTGGGGTTACTATGCCCTGACCCCATGACGTGTCTGTGGATGGTACTGTGACAAGGGAGGGGTGCCTCCTCTAGAGAGGAGACCAATCAGATGTCTGTCCGTTCGCACTTCTCGCGGAGACTTTGCTCAGCCTTGACTAAGGTGCACCTGTATAAGTCCCAGGCCATTTCACCCAAAGCTGAATCACCATTATGTCGTGGCGGCCGTCCACGAATGCAGATGAGGGCCCACTCAGATTCCGTAGCACAGGTCGTGGAATCACAGATTCAGTGGAGACTAAATGACTTCAGCCTCGCGTGTGCACACGCACCGCCCCCCCCCCCCCAGGAAGACCAGAGTTTAAACATCGCCCCACTGGAATGTCTACCTGTGAGACTTCTAAGAAGTCTCCAGGAGGTGATCAGGCTCCCCTTCCACCCCAACAGGTGGGACTGGCTGGGTCAGGCACCCCAGGGCCTTACCAGATTTGACGTCGGAACCAGGTCCTCACCTGACAAGCCTCCTTGAGTCCAGTGGGAACAGTGGAGTGGGGCTGGCCCAGGTGACTGGGTGGGAGACTGCCGAGGGAGCAGGCAGGGCATGCCTTCTCCCTTGTGATTGCCCATTCCCTCACCACCCCACTGTTTGCCCCAAACCAGTGGCAACAAAGGGGCAGCGCAATTGTTTTTCCTGGGCAGGGAACCAAATGTTATGAAAAATACTGAAAAAATCTGGACTGGATCACTGACAGAAGAAGCAAATGGTACTCAGAGCTCTTGGAGTGTTGAGGTTTTATTTCACACTGGCAGGCTCACTGGGGAGTAATCTCTCAAAAGCCTGAGCCCCGAACAGAGGCAAACAGAGCAACATACATCTTTTTGCTTCTGTATCTGTAACATTCCTTCGTGCACATCAAGCGAGCTGGCAACCGGGAGTGAGTTTAGGAAGTAAGTGCCTGGCAGAGCAGGGAGTGAAGGGGAGGGGGAAGTTAAGGGAGTTTCTATTGTCTTTGCTAAGAGCAGCAGAAGGGGAGCCACCTGGACTAGACTGCTGTCCTTGTAAGTTTTTCCCTATCATCATCTTAGGCAAAGTAATTAATCTTTCTGAACCCTAGTTTCATCATTTGAAAAATGGGAGTAATAATTCCTACTTCATATATGTGTTATAAAAGGTAAATTAAATACATGATTTAAAGTACCCACCTACAAACCTGGTACTGGGGACTGATGTCAACAAGTATTAGCTCCTTTCACTTCTGGAAAGATAAAGACTCCAGGAGGAGAGTGAGCAGCACACCTTGGCAGGGGTGTTTGTGGAGCTCAAGACTGGGAGATGGTAGGGACAGGACACTGCTGACCTTATTTAAAGACAGGTGGTTCAGAGAAGAGGCAGGATGCAAGTTTCCTTGAAGAGAGCTGGCTAGAAAGATTAAAAGTATAAAAAGAAATTTGCAAAATGCTGGGAATATTTCTAAGGAATCGCACCTCTGTGTGTTGTGGAAGATGTTTCGGGAAAGACCAAGGAGAAGCCAGGAACAGAGAACAAATGGGGCTGTGTGTGTATACTTTGAATGGGCGGAGACAGAGTGAGTGGCAGCTGCCTCAAGTGATTGGTGTAAGGAAATGAGGCGACAGGATTATGGAGTGCATGACGGTAGTGGGTGCCAGAGGGGCAGATCCATGGAGCCAGGAACGTAGGATGTGGTGTTCCTGGCCATGCAGATGGGAGGACGCTGGGGTTCTCCATTTGGAAGTGGGAACATTGGCTGAGGGCTGGCCTCTGGTTGGGTGCTGGGGCCTCTTCTCACTAGAGCAGACTTGGTCTCCACGGAGCTCAGAGTTGCAGGCCCTGGCAAGTCCATGTCTTCCCTGCCGCTCAGGCTGCCCTCGTCTGCCCCTCACCTGGAATCTGAATAGGTACCTCTTGTTTCAGGAGACAGTGACCTTTGAGGATGTGGCCGTGTACTTCACCCAGAGTCAGTGGGCCAGCCTGAACCCTGTGCAGAGGGCCCTGTACAGGGAGGTGATGCTGGAGAATTATGCAAACGTGGCTTCCCTGGGTAAGGTCTCTCAGCGACCCTTTGTGATAGTTCGGTGCCTTCCTCAGAATTTCATAGGATTCGAGAAGTCTGTAGGTTTGACTCTAAAGGTTCTGCAGTCACCAGCCTCTGGAGATGCTGGGTGCGGAAACCCCTGGTTCCCTTTGGTTTTGAAATTGGAGTCGCTGACACCCCAGGGAAGGGAGTGGTTCTGGGCACCGGGGAACAGCACTCTTCCTGGTACTCTAGGTGAGTCCTTTGTTCCTCCAGCCTCCTTGGTTCTGGGGATGTTGGCCCTCCCTTTGTGCTGGAGCCTCCCAGCACATCAGTACATGTATTTGTCATGAGGTACTGCCTTTCTGCTGCGTCAGGCTGAGGTCGCACTTTCTTCCTGAGGATGATTGCTGTCGCCCTGGCCTTGCCTTGGAGCACAGTGTAGAGCCTTTCCTCAGAACCCCTGGGTAGCTCACTTGGCCTTCTGGACATACCATTTCTCTCCCCACCCCAAACAGTCCATTAGGAGGTGGGCCAAGAGAGATGTTAGGAACCATCCGAATGTTTCCCCTTAACTTCTCTTTTCTTTTTCCTGCTGGAGTAGCCTTTCCATTCCCCAGGCCTGTTCTGGTCTCCCAGCTGGAGAGAGAGGAAGCACCGTGGGGCCCAGATCCCTGGGAAGCTGAGATTCCTAGAGGCCTCCGTCCGGGTGAGTGAGAGAGCCTAGAGGCTTCTGGTCTTGTGTCTCCTGTCTGCCAGAGATGTTTCTTTGGCAGCAGAGAACAAGGCCCCTGTTGTTCATAAGGCAGCACTCCATGCACTCTGACCTCTCCCCACTTCTAGCCCAAGCCTGGGAAGTCCCAAGAGTGGAGGCTGCACTGTGTCTCCACATACACAGCTGTCCTCCCACAGAAAAGCTGTGACTCAGTAGCTCCTAAACCACTTCTTTTCTTACTTGCCAGTGAAAATATTTGATCTTATGCCAGTTTTCTTTGCAAAAAATTGGGGTGTCAGCCGTACTTCAAGGAAAACAGGATATTGTGGGTCAAACTGATTTATTTGTGCCACACCTATAAGTTTTGTTTTTAGGCTTTCAGCAATGAAAATAATTCATTTATTGTGCCTTTTTGGTATCTAAATCACCTAAAAGGTCTCTGTGCCAAGATCTTTGGGTCTACCTTGTGTTTTCCTAAGTGGAGCTGTAGAGGAAAGGGCATGGGCTGGTACCCCACCACTTCACCCAATACACACACACACAGGGCCTAGAATTTCTGAGACTGCTTACTAGTCCTGGGAACTTTGATTGCTTGGGTTTTTTTTCTTTTTGAAAGAAAGTTTCCAGGCCTCACTTCTTACACATACTGTGGCTTTGTAAATGGTGGTTCTTTTAGCATTAGTAGCTCTCCAGTTCAACCTGTGTTCCAGCTGACTTCCTGAAAGAAATAATCATTTATCCCAGAATATTAAAAAGTAGAATGATTAGATCATTATTTAGAATTTGGAATTTGGGGTGGCTTCCTGGCTCACAGGTGGGGCTCTGAGGTATGTGTTTTCCTAGTTTGTGCTTTTAAGCCTGCTAGACCTCCTGTGGAGCTCGGGCTGCTAATCTGTTTCCCCTAGAGTTTCACTGAGTTTTTTTTTTTCTTGCTCTCTTTTGTTTCCACTTCTTGCTGATCCCTCTTATCTTTCCCATTATTAACCCTCCTGCCTTCTTTATTTCCCATTCTTGAAATTCTCATTCTCATTTCGTTTGCCTTGGTTCATTTCCCAGCCTTCCTCATAGGAAGCACTTCCTGGTCTATTTCTATTGCCATCACTTTTCCAGTTGTATGTTATTACAGATGACCCTTGAACAACACAGTTTTGAACTGCAGAGGCCCACTTATACACAGAATTTTTTCAATAAATATATTGGACAATTTTGGGGATATTTATTATTGTTTAAAAAATATTTTCTGTAGCTTACTTCATTGTAAGAATGCAGTATATAATATATAAAATATATGTTCATAGACTGCTTATATTATTGGTGAGCCTTCTGTTTAGCAGTAAGCTATTAATAGTTAAATTTGGAGGAAGTCAAAAATTATATGTGGATTTTTGGGGCCTGTAAACCCCCATGTTGTTCAAGTTTCAACTTTTTTTTCTTTTTCTCTCTTATTTTCCTTTATAGATGCATGTGGCTATTTCATGGGTATGTTTTTTAAAATCACATTTTTCAAGAGAAATTTAGGATCACTGGATCCTGCCTTTTTTTCCAGTTCAGTAATTAGGAACACTTGTGGTTTTTTTGGTCAGGTGCTAAGTCCTGGATCAAGACTGAAGAGCCAGCTGTGAAGCAGGAAGGCTCTGAGGAATCAGAGTCAGGCAGAAGGCCAGTAGGACTTCTCAGGAATGTTTCTCAGCACTTCGATTTTAAAAGCAAGGCAATGTGGCAGACTTTCAGTCTAAATCCAAATCTGGTACTTCGAGGTGGAATGGAGTTCTATGAATGTAAAGAATGTGGGAAAACCTTCAGACATAATTCATGGCTTATTCGACATCAGATGAGTCATACTGGAGAAAAGCCCTTCAAGTGTAAGGAATGTGGCAAAGCTTTCAAGTCCAGCTATGACTGTATTGTACATGAGAAAAATCACATTGGAAAAGGGTCCTGTGACTCTAAGGGGTGTGGCAAAGGTTTGAGGTCTGACACATCCTTGACTCAACATCAAAGCATCCACACTGGAGAGAAACCCTATGAATGTAAGGAGTGTTGGAAAGCTTTTGGTTATAGGTCACTTTTTATTGTCCATCAGCGAATTCATAGTGGGGAAAAACCCTACCAATGTAAGGTGTGTGGCAAGGCTTTCACTCAGAAGATAGCCTCCATTCAGCATCAGAGAGTTCATACCGGAGAGAAGCCCTACGAGTGTAAGGTGTGTGGGAAAACCTTCAAGTGGTACAGCAGCTTTGTTCAGCATCAGAAATTGCACCCTATAGAGAAAAACCATAGCAAGGTTCTTGGACCTTCCCCCCTGAGCCCACAGTGCCCCTCTTCAGCCTTATCCCCTGTTTCTCTCCAGGGTCCATGCGCTGATCCCACTATGTCTGTGCCTTCACTGACCTTTCCAAATGCTGTGCTCATTCCTGCCACTGGGCCTTTGTTCATGCTGTTGCCCACATCAGGAATATCTTCTTCACCTGTCCAAGCAGTACGTGTCTTCCAGGGCCTTCCTCCTTCTGTGAAACCTTCCCCAGTTATTCTGACTCCTCCTCCTCACTCCTCCTGAGCTTTGTCTTCATGCTTTTCTGCTCAGCAAATGTACAACCTAATTTGAATTTCATTTGTATTTTTTCTCACCTTACACATATTACAACTGTTCTGGCATAACTCCTAATAATCCATGTATATTTAAAGGCTAGATTTACATAATACATTCTGTTTTCTTTTGGAAAATGGAAGTACTTGACCTTTGCATTGGCCCCTTTCAGAATCTGACAGTAATGGCTGTATCTGCATGTGGGCGTGCTGAAGTTAGAAATGCTGGTATGGCCCTTTGTTGTGTAGAGAAGCTTCGGAGGAAGGATATCCCTGTATTAGGCCATTGTAATTAGAGAGATGCAGCTGGGAGAACCGGAGATGGCATGCAAGAACTGGGAGCAGAGAATGCGAATAAGCTTCCTACAATGGACTTTAGAAATTAATGCATATTGTTCAGTGGGCCAAGTGGTTCATTAATGCAATTGAGTCACATTGACCTTGGCATGGATCATTGAGGATCTCATCTGCTGATGGAAAAGATCACGTGAGATAACCAGTGAAGAATATGTGCAAAGTGATAGAAATCATCTACATGGTAGCAATTATGTCTTAAAATAGGAAGTGTTTTTCATTTTCTTCTTTAGTTTTGCTCTTGATGTTTAGCTGGTTCTTTTTAATTTCAGTTTCCTAAGTATGTATCAAAGCATTCATCTTTCTTTCATCTGCTGTGTACATTTGTCCTGGTGGGCGTTCTGGTTTTCTTCTTACAGGCACTGGCTTCTACATTGAATATTATCCAGACAGCATGAATCGTAAATATGAATTTGTGAATTGCTAAAGAAATAGGAGCAACAGTGTAAAGCCAACTTGGGGGAAATCTGAATCAGGATCCAAAATTGTTCTTAGGAATAAAGGGGCTGTGGGTCAATGGATTGCTCTTGGTTTTGATCTTGATGAACATTCTTTTACATCTGGGCCAAAGGACTCTGAAGTAATTTCTGGAATAATAACTTGCATTATACATTATTAGCATTAATATAAAATAAATCCTTAAGAATTGGTGAAAGGGGCGATAAATGTTTTTTCTTTTAAGTTGCTTTTGCTGCCTAGAAGTCTCTCCATAACAATGAACAGAAAAACCTTTAAATTAGTGGTTCTTAAACCTTACAGGTGTCTGAATAACCTGGTGTGCTGAATAACATTGGTGTAAAAAGAGTAATTTCCTGGCCTAACTCCCAGAAATTCTAATTGTGGATATGTGGTGATGCCTAAACCTTTAGTGTGGACCATAGTTTAAGAGAATGCTTTAGCATGAAATACTATGAGCTATTTAGAGGCATTGATAAAGGGGTTGGGAGAAACCACCTTATTTCACAGTGGATCTTCAGACAGAGACCTCTAAAAGTAATTTGGGTGGTGTTAGTTTAGAACAAGAGAGAAAAGCAAGTGAAATATGGACAGTAGGGATAAAAAGAGGCAAAGAAGTCTGATGTGGCTGTGAAGAGTTCTCAAGGTCTCCACTGGCAGAAGGATTTTGGGGGTTGACATAGGCTGCTGTCGCCAGTGGGTTTCAGCCCCAAACAAGTTCACTATGGATTCAGTGTGACCAAAGAAACTGACAGCAAAACGTTCTTGGGGGTGAAAGGGTTTATTACCTGGCTTGTTCTCCCGGCGGTAGGTTGAGCACCAGTGTCTCTGCCTCTGCCCAGAGCACTGGGCCGAGCTCTCTATATAGCACAATAATAGCTTATTACCTAAAGGTGTGGAAGCGGTAGCCTAGCAACAGGCCAGTTACATCATCAGGTGGCTTAAGTTCAGTGAGGATCCTGGCCATAGGAACCCCAACTTCCCCACATTCCACCCCTCCAGGATTCTTGCCTTACAGTCTACACGCTTTCAATCTTCTGCAGTGGTCCCTGTGTGAGAAAGCTTGAGCACTGTAACCAGATTCCACAATAGCAACAGAGGATAACAACAACTTAGAGATAATAAAAATTAAGATACAGCAAGATTTTGATACAGCTAACAAAAATTACAATAATCGTCAAGCCAGAGCAGGTTCCTAATAACAAAAGTTAGAATAATCCTCAAACCAGAGGAAGTTCTCAATTGACAAAGACTTTAGGGGCAATAAGACACATGTTTTAATGCTACCAACATAGGCAAATCTTGTCCATCAGGTAGGATGCATGCAAGAGAGCGGTCCTGTGATAGGAGTGTAGCAGGAAGGGGGTCCTTTCCAGGTCTAGTATATCATACTTTTACTCCTTTCCCCATGGGGGTTACTGAAGGGTCTATATATACTGCCATTGGAGGTGCATGCACTGGCCATAATGATAAACCAAAACCCCCGATAAGATGCTCCTACCTTCTGGCCATTCAGGATATACTACTGTGACCTTTGACGGCCACTCTGCTGTTATGCCAGGAATACACAGGAGGCCAGCTTCCAGGCCTTGTCCCCAAGGTGCCAGGAGAGCCAGTCATCGTTTGTCTGTATCAAAAGGTCCAAGGCCACATCCACTCAACAGAGTCTCTGGGGTTCAGTGCAGCTGGTGCTGACAGCAAGATGTTATTCTGGTGGCTGAACCTCAGCTTCAGTGACTCTTCCTTGGTTTGTACTTGCAGTTGTATAGGGGAGGCAGCCATATGTGTTAACATGTCTACAGGGCTCAGGGCTCACTTTTGGGGTCTCATTCAAACACCATAGCACAGTCCATATGCAGACCACCTTCACAGACTATAGGTATCTGAGTTTAGTCTGGATTTTAACAAGCCATTGTGCCTCTCTATCATGCCTGCTGCAGTAGGATTGTATGGCACAGGACACTTCCATTTGATTCCCAGCTGTCGCACCCATTCCTGCAGTGTGTGTCCAGTAAAATCAGTGCCCTGATCACTCTCAATTACCTGTGGTCGGCCATAGACAGCAAAGAGATGCTCCAGGCCTCTTTTGGTCATCTGGTCAGCACAGCAGGTAAGAAAAGCAACAAGAAGTCCAGTAATTGTATCCACACAAGTCATCACATACTGATATCCTTCTGACACGGGTAGAGGCCCAGTATAGTCTATCTGCCACCTGACAGGGGGTATAGGCCCCTTGGCTGTTGTCCCATGTTGCTGTGGAACTCAGTGTAAGTCCCTTTAGGAGCACATGACACACTCCTGCTAGGCTCTACTAACTTCTTCAAAGGTCAAAGGCAAGCCCCACCGATGGGCTACAGCCCACATTGTCTTTTGCCCCACGTGCAACAAACGCTGATGTAACCATTGGACTACATCAGAGGCAGGCATTCCTTCTAACCAACATATCTGGGCCAATTTATCTGCTTCATCATTTTCTGGGAATGCCAGTGGCAAATGACCTGTCACATGGTATACTGTAATTATTTTAGTTTGACACAGGCACATAAGTCTTGCCACAATTCTTGCCCACAAAGAGGTCAGTGACCAGCCAGTTGGCATGGTACCAGGTTGGTACCCACAGGGTCAAGCCCCAATACACAGCCCAGCTGTCAGTGCAGACAACTATAAGGGAGGGTTGCTGGCTGATCACAAGCCACACAGCCCATAACTCTGCCCATTGGCTGCTCTTCCCTCACCATCTTCCATCTATATTGTCTCAGTCTTAGTATGGAAGCTATGGCCCTCCATTTGGGGGCTTCCCATGGCTGAAGCCATCTGTGTACCATGCATCTTTGGGTATATGGGCTCTTCTTTCCCAATAGGGACTCTCTGCTACTAATGGTTCAAAAGCAAGTTCTTCCTGCTTTTCACTAGTATATGTCACTGGCCCCAAGAAGTGTTGGAGTTCTTCACTCAAGGGCCTACTAGAGAGGGCACTCCACTGCTGTAGGTGTGCACCTCACTTGGCCAATGTGGGCATTTGTGCCACACCACTCCTTGGCTTTTGGGTCCAGTCTTGTACCCACCCCAAGATGGGATAGGTAGTTATTACCTTTATCAGGGCCATTCCAGTGATGGGTTCTGTAGCCAGCAAGGCATGATACATGGCAGGCAGTTGGTTTTCTATCAAAGTGTATCGTACCTCTGCCCCTTTCCAGAGTGTGACCAGAATCCAACGGGTTGGCGAGTTCATTCAAGCTGCTGCCAGAGACCCTAGCTCTAATCGTCTTCAGTCACATGAACGTCCAGCTCACAGGGCCTTGATGGGTCTTTCACACTCAAGGCCTGCACGGTCTTGACTGCCTGTTTTGCTGTAGTAAAGGCAGATGCACCTGTCTCATCCCAGTCCCACCTGACGCCCTTTTGTACCAACCGGTATAAGGGCTTCAGAATTTGTGCGAAGTGGGGGATAAACACTCTCCAGTAGCCTAGAAGACCCAGAAACTCCTGTAGGAATGGGGGTAGGAAAGGCCTGGACTTTATCTAGTATCACTTTGGTCTTACCCAACCAGAAGACCCCCAAGAATTTGATAGACAAACCAGGTCCCTGAACCTTGGTGCTGTTCACAGCCCATCCTTTCTCCTGTAGATGTTGCAGCAGTCTATGTGCTGCATTTTCTAGATCTGAAAGAGAATCAGACATGAGCATGACATCATCGATATAATAGTACAGCTGCACCGTTGGTGGTTTCTCCCATGTAGCCAAGTCCTGGGCTACAAGTCCATGACAGATGGTGGGGCTGTGGAGGTATCCCTGTGGGAGGATGGTGAAAGTTCATTGCCATCCTTCCCACGTGAAGGGAAACTGTTCCTGACTTTCCTGCTCAATGTCAATGGAAAAGAAGGCATTAGCAAGATCTACCACATAATGGTATGTTCCTAGTTCATGGCTGAGAGTATCCATCAGGCCTGCAATAGAGGGGACAGCAGCATGCATAGGGAATATGACTTTATTCAGTTCTCTAATCCACAGTCATATGCCCAAAGCCATCTGGCTTTTTTACTGGCCACACTGGGGAATTGAAAGGACTATGGGTGGGCTTTATAATACCCACCTTTTCCAGCTCCCAGAGAGTTTCTCCAATCTCTTTATGCCCTCCAGGCAGGTTGTATTGTTTGGTTTTAATCACCTGCTGAGGCACAGGCAAAGCTATGGGCGGGTGCCTAGCATGTCCCCTCAGAACTGTCTTCACCACACATACTCTTACTCTGAATTTACATGCAGTGGTCTGCAACCATAGACCCTGCAGGATATCAATCCCCAAAATATACTCAGGGATAGGAGATATATACATGGTATACTCCTTTGGGGGTAGGCACCCTATTCCAAAAGGGATTTGGGCTTTTTTCACCCTGATAGCCTTCCCCCCATATCCATCTATTATAGTGGGGATCTTGGGAAACTGCTCAGGGTTACCATGAATCAGTGAACATTCAGCCCCAGTGTCCACCAGAGCCAGGACCCATTGTATATTCACTGGGACCAATGGATAGTTATTTCAACAAGTGGCCTTCAGCCCCCACCTCATCCCTCAGGGCAGATACCTTGACCATCCCCTCCGTCAAACCATGTTCCCCAATTACGTTCCTGTGTGGCTCAACTGAGGTTGGTTAGCTTCCCAGCAAGAAGTCTTGCAAGCAAACAGACTGGACTCGTGGCTCTGTCTCTGACCTCTGCCTCTTTGGTCTTAATGGCTGGAAGTGCTGCTCTGGTTTCCACTTTTGCCATAGCTGCTGTAAGATCCTATTTGACTTTCTGTTTAATTTCCTCCCATCTGCTTCTGCCATATTAAATCAACCCACATCTGGGTCCTCGTAACCTTCATGGGGCCCTGTAAATTCTTTTTGTGAGTAACATCTTATTTCTTTCCAGATTCTTGTTGCTTCTGCTCCTAAGTCTGCTACTGTACATGTCACCTCGCTTATGGGCTGCCCTAAGTGAGGGGAAAGAATGGCCACCAGAGACCCAAAGAGGAATGTGGGAACCATTTGAATCACAATGTTTCTCATTCCAGGGGTGAAAAGCTCTTCATCTGGGCTATAATTCTCTGGACTATAGATAGCATTTCTTATGCCTAGCTCTTGTAGCACCTGTTGGAGCTCAGCATATGTCTGCCATCTAATAGGAGAGGATGGCAGATCGCCCAGATTGGGCCACAC